CTTGGTGGCGCGTACTCGCTCGAATGGCAAAGGAAGTTTTTCACTAATTTTTAAATGCACCGCCGCAGGGCAATTTCTGGATGCTTCTGAAGCTGTTCGCGTTCATGACGCTTTGAATAGACAATAGGTATTGCCATATGTCAATGCTGTTTGAATAGTATTGTATAAAATACAAGAAAAATATACTTCTTTATCTTATCTTCATCTTTTTTTTCCATTCACTGATGCCGCATCAAAGTTTCTTTCAGAACTCAGCTGGATGAAGGTAGCTGTGTTCACCTTGTCACCCACGATGTTTTCCAAAATTAGTGAATCACAGAGTCTATCAAGATTTCTCGAATAACATTAGGTTTGTTAATCGTTTATCAGTTGAAGACTATTTCACTCGTTCAGTATCTGACTAAAACGAAATTTCTGATAGTCTCTAACCTAAAAGCGTTGATGTCAAGAAAAATTTAAGAAATACCGTTAGTCAGCAAGACAGACGTAGCTTTTACAGCAATTTCAAATTTCAACCTCAAGCGCTGACTATCTAATTGAAGAGGTGTCTCAAGTTGTAAACAACTCAGCTCAACTCAGCCTCACGGAATTTTATAAAACCAATTATAAATGAGAAGTTATGAAAGAAATCTTGTATGATAATCACATCACTTCAATTGGACGATGTTCGTTTACGAGGTTTGTATTTGCATACGGGTGAATCAATATTCAGCATCGCTTTCCTTTTCTCACTTCTTCAATACGAGGATCTTTAAATATGACACTGAAGTTGCAAAATAAATTAAAAATGAACTTTTTGCTATCAGAGGTAAAAGCCCTTCAGTTTCGAAAGAAGATGCCAAGCAGATACGAAGACACAAAGGAGAAAACATGACACCATCGAACTTCTTCAGGCGCCCTTCTCAGGGCACTCACTCGACAATTAGACAACTGTCAAGAATCATACATTCAAAATATGCTACCATTGAATTTAAGCCTCAGAGTGATTATGTCAAAACAAATTATATTTAAGTGCATCCATTTTAAATATGAACGAAGGCCGGCTATTCTTTTTACATTTTCTGTCCACGAAATGTTGTTTTCCGCAGATCGAAGCAGAGCAAATTTAAGTGTAATATCGTGTGTCGTGACTGTAAACATACATACGAGATCTTTGAAAATCGCTCGGCAGCCATGGTAGAGTGGACAAACTTTGCTCGCGGCAATTGATTTGCACTTCAAGGAATCTTGTAGAACCTACCTTGAAACATTGTTTTGTTTGAACTCTCAGCGCCGCCCATTCCGTCCCATGATGTTGAGATGGATGCGTGGCTAATAACTATCTTTCAGGTCCTATTAATGTTTCCTTGCTTTATTTCATCCTGGCTGCATTCTCTTTAAGAAATGAATAAATAATTGATGACCCCAAGAGCAGGTACACACAAGTAGATTTTAACATAATTATCATGATGCACTACTATGGCAACTGTCAGTTCCAATAACAACCCCGGGTTCTCAAAGAGTTCTATAACAATTGACAAGGTTCTTGCTGTGGGCAGTATCGCATTAAAATCCCAAAAGCATTGTGCAAGACTAGTTCTCAACAGTAGGTGAATAACACCGCTTTTGTGATTAAATCTCTATCACCTTTATTAAACTTCAAAAAGGGCTTCCAGCATCGTCCACTATTCTAAAAATACATCCTCTTTGACTGAGTACTTTTTCCATCAAAATATTTGAAAACAATTATAAAAATTGGATGTTGGAGTGAATTTATACGATAACCTTGATAAGAGTTGAACGCATAAGTAAGAAAGTGCTTTCCAACCGGTTGAGTATAATGTTTAGGCTTGCATCGTGATTTTCAGCTGCGTATATGTTCATACTCAACGTAGTTACTATGGCTGCGAGGATGTGCTATTCCGTGGATCAAGTGTGGCCGAATGACCGAAATTATACTTTAGAAAGCCAAAAAATCGTGGCAACCTCAATCTTAACTTATCATCGCACTTTACGGCTCTACTGCGGTTAGTCATTTGTTTCAAGAGACCATAAAATTATCTCTTAGTTGCTTCCATTTGCAGTTTGTGGGAGGTGGACATCCCTAATGCATCAAGAAGAATCCGACGAGTGTCACTTAAGTCACCAGGCATGGTGTGACCACCTTGCATAGATTGACTTCAAGAGCATTTTCAAATTTTATTGTGAATAGTAAAACTCAGATAACAGTATAATGCTGTAGACATTCTTTTTATTCCCATAAGTTACATGGAATGGGTGGTACATTTGCATTTTCACTGTATTAGTATCAACGTTTGTTGAATAAATAAATAAATCCTCTCCTTGTGCCATAGCTTAATTGTCATAATTTTAAAAACTATAGTAATTGAGTAAATACATAGCTGCTATGAATTAATTTCAAGCTCACAGAGCGCAATGAAAATTAATAACCTGAATTTAACTTTTCATAAAACGATGAAGTTGTCCGGGCAGCAATTCTCATCTTATGAACTATCTTTTAATTTCTTAAAATCTATGAACATTTCATTCGACCATATTTCGAGGTCACTTAAAACACATTCCTTGAGATGGCATGCGACAGAGCTGAGGGACTGAGACTGAGGCCTTGAATTGCGATTGGATGGGATGGCAGCTGTGGTGCCAAGTGTAGGAAGGCCCTTGAGTTGCCGATCCTGGAAAAGAGACAAAATAATAAAATGGAATGAGATGTAATCCACTTTGTCTCGTGAACTGCAAGAGCCGATGAAGAAAACAAAAAGATATATCATATGTTTCTTAAAGGATACACCTTAAGTTATCTTTTCATAACTTGTCTAGACTATGCAGTTTTTGGAGAGGTAAAGTAACTGAGATACAGTATGAAATGTAAGGAGAAAAATTATTAACAACTTACGAGATTGACTGCTCTTGTAATCAAGGGTTTGATGAGTTTCAGTTCTTTTTTCAACTTCGTCAAATATGTTGGAGCAGTCGATGCTTTCTGAACTCGTAATAATTCAACTATGGAATGCGTGAGCTGGTATCCATAGCCAATCACAACTCTTCGGTAAAATTCCAATATGTTACTTCTCTAAAAAGATACAAACGAAAAAAATTAAGTAACCTGCTTAATCTTACAGAACTTACACCTCTTAGGAGATCGTGTGGCGAAATAAGGAGAACTGTTGTAAAATGTTTCAAAATACCTGAGTGTATCGTAATACTAAGTACCGAGTAATATTAAAAAGAAACCCTCAAATTTTACGTTTAAAGGAATGTACGACGAAGCACAATCTGTGAAATGAGGGCATTGCAAAACAATAATATCTTCATTAACTTAGGATATAGCGGCTTACCGACTCATTAGCAAAGTTGGATGTAGTGAGGTTCATATCTGCCATTATTGTAGCAGCCAGGGAAGTACATGCTGGGTTACAGTAATCCGAAATGTTATAATCAGATTTCTGCAACAAAAAGGTAAATGATAGGTTTAAATTTTTAAAAAGTTTTCAGTTCCTTGAGAATTTGAGATCCTAGGAAAACCTACATCAAAACAAAAGGATATAGGTCTATTTAGTTTGTACTGTTTGAGGGACTGAAATTCACTAAATGGAAGTTTACGAAAGGGAAAACAAGATGAATGAAAATGTCGAGCTTTTTAGGGTGAAAATGTAAAGCTAATGAAAATTAATTTTAAATTTTCGGGTTGTTGAGTTGCTCACAAACAGGGTATTTTCAAACACGATAGGCCACGTTAAGCCACAACATGGTACCTAGTTGACTTAAAATATCAGAATTATCACTATAGAAAGTGCAGATTGAAGAAGAGCGTTACACTAAGGCTTAGGTTTGATACTATAGTCTCAAAAAAAAAAAGAGAAAAATGTTAAAACTTCCGTTGATTTGGTTTCAAAAACTCCAGGTTCATAAATGTCACAAATACAAATTTATCCTGCAATTGCCTAAAGAATGAAAAAGTATCGTACAACTTACCATAAAGCTAGCAGCATGAGAAGTCAAGTTAGTGAGAGAATACGCCGAACGGGACAGTCGATCGATTGACTGATGGAGATGGCATGATGCCGAACTACAGGCGTCCTCGCCTTGAATTTTGTGTGATAACAGCAAAAGCAGAAGGATTCCATAAAAAGGAAAAAATGCTCGTGTTCCTAGAGTATAATGCATTGATGATTTAGTATATAAACATGAAAAAAGAAAAAAAAATCAGAGGTTTGCCCTGGACAAAAAGTACAATCAGCACTCTTGAAATTCTTGTGGACAAAATTAAAAGAAAATTAATTCTCATTCCTTATTGCTTACAATTCAATACAGAAAAAAAGTTTCAAATGCATTGGATGGAAAACGTCTTTCACTGAATAGTCCCTTTCACGACACTTTCGACAAATGATGGAGCAGATGATGTTCCACTTACCTATCATCATGATATTGTTGTTCTTCTCTTTGTGACTTGAAGACTGTTTTGCACTTAACTTTGAGTTGAAAATGCTGGATCGTCCAAGTGTTCATCCTTATATACTTATCTAAAGGTTCCTGCTTTGTCAGCTCAGAGGCTAATTTAGACATTTTCTTCCCCATTTTAGTAGACAACGTTTTTGCTACGTAAACGTAGCCCAACCATCCGGTGAGTAAATCTAATTTGAGTTTATTCGGTTTCAGTCATAAGAGCAGGTGGCCAAACCGTGAATGGAGTCCCTTCAATTTCTCATTCCAGCATTTTCAATTTTCATCAAACCTCTCAAACGTTTCATTTATTTATAATTTATGTTCAGCACGTATCAAGAAGCCATCAAAGTGAATTTCATAGAATACATACGGGTTCCAACACCCTCACTGTTCACATTCGTAGAGTCTGTATTCTTGTTCTTAACATCAGGTCAATCTTTTTGACTCTTCAAATTGCTTTTAATAATTCATTAACTATTGATGAAGTTGTGTCTCAAAATACATCTCCAGCTGGTAAATCAGTCTTAGTCTGTCCGCTGTTGGCATTTCAGGCGGGGTTCTTCCGATTACAGTGAGTTCAACAAAAGACTAATTACTCTTCCTATCAGGCTTGATTCATTGGTGGCACAATCATGACTGCAGACCTTACACGTATTTTGAGAGAAGTAGAGTTATCTTTACACTAAACAAGAAGAAATATTAAATAGTATAAAGGCAAAGGAGATAAGATACAGGCTTCCAGTGGCTAACTAAGATGCATCTTCCGGCTAGATTCCTCTTCCATCGCTTTTGTCATCGCTAAATTTACGTCCATGATAACTTTGAGGTAAGAAGCAATTCTACTAATTTTAAAACAACTTTAACATCCTGTACTTGTTATCCCGCGTTCAGTGATTCACCAGCGTTTGTTTTATTTCAAGTTAGAGAAACCAACGGCCGAATAAGTTGAATAACTTGCCTCTTTGATATGATTTACAGGCATTCTTGGTAAATCATATGGAGGTAAAATCTGCGTATAACGTCTATAATGTTCTCTGCGAGCTGTAGGACAATTTTCTATACAACTCCAATCGTTTGGACAGTCATTCTACTCAACGCAACGCACGCTAGAATTTTTATGGCACTGACTTTTCCCTTTCTACACGAGTAGTTTGATACTCGCGATGATTTTATCCGATTAGTTGTTTGGTTTCTATCTTAGCGACCAGGTGATACAACAAGCGCACATAAAATGCGACCAGTCACGGTGAGGCAAACCTGAAAATTCATCGACCTGTTGCCTGTTTAAAACATCACTTGCACTTGACTGCATCAGCGCAGGTAGTAAATTTTATATTCATAAACAGTTGAATTAACGAAAGGATTGAACTGGACGTATTTGTTTGGTAAAGAGACTTCAATCATTTTGCGGCTATTTACCGATCCTTTGTAATGTTCCAAATTATCGGTTCATTTGATAAGAATAATGTGCTTAGATTCCAGCGGTAGTCAAACATATTCTCCTCGATGAACACATCAACCCGTTCGATATACAACATATTCCCCAGTGAGGGAGAAAAATTAAGAGAAAAATAAGCTACAGAGGATACTTTCAAAATCTCATACCAAGTTCAACACGAGCGTTGGAGAAAGAAAGAAAACATTCTGAGGCTCCTTTAGGAATCGACTCTCAAACCTTTGGATTCAGCGCTCAAACGCTCTGCCAGTGAGCTTTGGAGACCTCTATGGAAAGTGAAGCCAAAACTAGGTTTATCTTTCTTGTTCTGTTAATCTCGGTATGGCATCCTGTTTGATCTCCACACTTACCCTCTCTTTCTTTTGCAGATCAAACTTTATAATTATAGCTAAATGTATGTTTTAGACTAATTTCTCGATAAAGGGGTAAGTTTCTAAAGAAACTGTGGTGCTGCGTAGGTAGGAGAGTATAACAGGGTAATTTGGCCACTGTAAAGTGTTTCAAAGCTGACGTTTCGAGCGTTAGCCCTTCGTCAGAGCGAATGGTAGCGTGGGCATTTTAAAACTTTGCGACACGGTATGTAGAGCTAGGTATGTATCCTAGGTATGCTCCACGGACCTATTTTGTGAGTGTACTTGGATTGTGCTTCCCTCTCCTCAAACTCCTTCCGTCACAAATAATCTCTTAGTCAGAAATTAAACAAAGTTTTAACTTATTAGCATTTTATTCAAAAGTAAAGGAAATATCAATACAAAACTAAAAACTGCTACAATAAAATCATTTCGTCAACACCACTACTTTAAACCAAATCAATGCCATAACATTGACCTGAAGTGAAATATTATATTATTACAACGTTAAATAGAGTAACTTAAATAACTTTCATCGTACTGTTTTATGAAGCCTATTTCAATGATTACACAAAGGGTTTCCTTCAATTGCAAGTAAGTCCTTTTATTTTCCAAATGTCAGTGATCAGAGTGAATAAATTTAATCTTAGGTCATCCAGGATAACCTTAGTTTGTAGAGTGACATGCTGAATGGTGACAGACCCAGTATTTAAGGCTTTGGTTTGGACAGACTGACTTGATGGCTTGCTGGTACTGCTGTGCCTCTGTTCGCGACGTTATGAAAAATAATGATAAAAAAAAGCATTGTCACATCAGTATTTACAGATTTGATAAACTGTATATTTGTCCTTGTCCAAGTTTGTTAACTTAAACGTAACACGACCATTATGGCAAACCAAGAAAACGTCACAATGTACATTATTTTACGGCCAGTAAATATAGTTTATGTGAACTGCCATTTATAGTTTTGGAGAAGTCACTACAGTTCATTTCAAGCTTCCAATTTTTAATTCAGTTATTCTCTTTCGTTAAAATTAATTATTTGATGGGAATTATGAATTAAGCGTTATGGCATTCAATCAATTAAATTTTCATTAAATTGATGGAATATCAAACAACTTTTAAATTCATTTAAAGATAGTCACCCTTACGACAGCCTCTGAGATTCTTAAGGAATATTTGTTAACGATGTGATCGTTAATGATTGAGAGGTCCTAATGGCTAAGTTTTACTATAGGTAAAGTATTTTAAATTTAAATTAAATATTAGTCGCAAACGTAATGATATCTACTGACTATGAGCGCCATGCTTCTTCTCAAGAAGCTTATCAGCTTCATTGCGTCCCTTTTCAGATCCTCCAGTTTGTTTGTTAAAGAACCATTGGCGACTTGAAATTGTTTCAGTTGACGTGTGGAGTTAGCAATCAGTGAGATGAAGGTTGTGAAGATATCAATATTTCCCTCAAGAAGCTCTTCCGCCTGAAACACAGACAGTCTAGAAAGGTTAGATTTCATGAGACAACACCGTCCTATAAGGTCTTCGTTGGTTTGATGATGATGGGTACTCAAGTGAGTTTTGCATTAAAAGTACCGCTCAAAGGCACAAATAAACAAAGAATGCCTTCATTGCGAAGTTCTAAATACCTTTTCTGAGGAAAAATGAAAAGATTCGTTTGTAATGATACCAGCTAGCTTATATTACCCTGATCGTGGTTTTGTTGGATCTCCGAGGAGGTACATAAAAATCAACGTTGGATTCCTGAAAAGGATCCGTCGGCCAGCGTCGAGACTGATATTAAAAGCAAAAACACCATAAAAAATGAATGTTACATCTATGCAATGAGCGTTTTCTTTGAAATCAATTCAGACATGATGTGTTCGGACAGTATCAGAAGATATGCTTAAGGAAAAGTAAAATTACCATATTTTGGAGGAGATTAGAGACTTGTTCTATCAATAGACGAGACATTATCAAGGCGTCAGTGAGGGATGCATTCATATCTCTGTTCCTTGAACATGGCCAAGAAGGCTGAAGTTGAGCCGGTAAACACTTCGTTATGGCAACATTACACCAGACCAGAAAATTAGACGCCAAGCCACCTGTGTTATGTAAACGGAAAGTTACCAAAACACAAAACTACATTAAACATACGATAATTAGGTTTCTGCTGATTAATTGAAGAATGGCTAACTTATCAACTGACTGAACGACTACTGACTGACTGATCTACTAACTGATAGTTTATTTGTCTGTTTGTCTGTCTGTCTGTCTGATTGTCTGTCGGACGGACGGACGGACAGACAGACACAGACAGACTTACTGACTGACTGACCGACCAATCGATCATCAGACTGACTGCCTGTCTGCCTGATTGACTGTCTGTCTGACTGACTGGCTGACTGACCGACAGAACGTTTGTCCGATTTACTCTCTGACTGCCTGACCGTCCCTGTTTGTCTGACGGACTAACTGACTGACTGACTAACCATTTGTCTATTGCCTTTTCGATCTTACTGACGAGGAGCAAATTTAAAGTCAAAGGTAAAACTTAAGTCGACGATTTTCCTCAATAATAAAACAAAATATTTTGTTTTCTAAGAAAAAAACTGTGCAAAGAGAAAATCTTGATATATTTAACTCGTTATAGGAATTGAGTCCTTTAACTAATCAAAGTGAGTGTGATATGGCTGTCTAAAAGAGTGTGATGTCTTGCCATTCGGTGAATTTCAGAACGAATATTGGGCTCTTCTTGAGTCAAAGGGTCGGATTAACATCAATTTAATGTGATTTCATTGTTTGAAGGAACACAACAACCACTTTTCAATGTCTTTTACCAACCACTTTTGATTTTAAAGAAATCGATGATCATCTGAGTGGATGCTTCATGCAAGTCAGCTAATACACACTGTGCAAGGTGCGTCACTTTGTAGGCAGACTGAGAGTGAAGACTGTTCTTGCGCATGGTTGAGGAGAGCTGCTGCTGGTAAGCCGTAGTGTTTAGCGGTGGAAGACCCTTGAGTCTCCGATCCTGATATGGAAGTTGAAATTGTCAAGACATGGAAACCATTTTTACAAAAGAGCTGGACTAACGGGGTATGGTATAACTGGAGTAATCTTTGACGATTTTATCTCCTGCTTTCAGGAATTATTCAAAGTTGTTTTAATGCCATAAGGTCAAGAGTATGCTGTGAAAGACTACTGCCTGCTAAAGTAAAAAAGGCTCGTAGGTAACAAAGCCATAAACAGAACGGCCTGAAATATCCTTACAAAGCCTCATTACTTTAAGAATAAAGTGACAATAACCTTTACGGCAGTAGCGATAATCCTTGTTTAAGTTCCTACCTTCAAACCCAGCATGATTCCTAACTTGTATTAGCCATTAAGAAGTATTATTCTGAATCACATGAATGAGACTTACAATTTTAACTGCCTTTGTAGCCAACTTGTTTATCGTATTCTGCACATAATCTTGCAGAAAAGTGAGGTCTGCTAAAGGAGTTGTCAAGTTTTTAAGATGTGATAGCTCTCCCAATAATTCTCTAAGCAAATGGCTGTACCCTTGAGACATTCTTCGGTGAAATTCCAGAACTATACTTGTCTGAGTAAATGGAATTGCAAAAAAAACTGTCAAATTTTACGTGTACTGCAATTCATATCATAACAGGATAGCCAGATGGGTAAAGGAAACCTACAGAAACTTATGTTGTGGCTGGACAACCCTAGCCTGTTCCGAGAACTCCTCGTTGACTGATTATCGTTTCCTTTATGTTTATGATCAAGCAGATTATCAAGTAAGGTTTCAGTCCTATTGAGAACTTGGTATAAGGAACCAGTAGTGTGAGATGGCCTAAAACACAGGAATCATTATACAAGTGTTGATTACTGGCAACTTTGATTGAGGCTGGCTTAAATGGTACTCAACGCAATAACGTTCCTGAGGTGGAAATACCCTGGGAGGTAACAGACTACCGTTTTCAACCCCAAGGAGTATATGTGAAAACTTTAACATCTCCCGACCGAGAGAGGGGAGACCTGTCCGTCCACGATGTGATGCTTGGTAATTAATTGCATTCTTTTAAGTTTGATTTAGCCATTATAATTTGTTCAAATCGAATAGTGCAATCATTCGAGCTCATATTGGATTCACACGATGAGAAAATTAAGACAAAACTCTACAACTTCGTTGCTTACCGAGACATTAGTGCAACTTGAGGTAGTTAAGTTCAAGTCTGCTTTTACTTCACGCGACAAAGGGGCACAGGCTGAGTCACATGAATCCATGATTTTGGACTGAAAATTCTGAAACGGCAAACGTTGAGGCGTCATGGTTTTGAACGAGTTAAATATAGTGCAGAAAAATAAATACTTCTAGTTTCTGTCATTCAGTCAGTAAGAATCATTTTTAATAACCCAGAAGAGGCATGATGATTTCTTTTAAACTATGTGCAGTTTCATTTTTACCACCAAAACTTGCAAACTTGAAAACTTACAGAGTAAGAGTATCGTATATCTTACCGAGTACGTCAATGTTCTGGATGTCAGACTGGCCAAAAATTGTGACGATACAACCAGAAAGTCGATGGTCCTTCGCCCATGACGGTGGAGTGCGGAGGATCTGGAACATCGTCTCGACCGAAGACAATTGGCGCGTACAGAAGTATTGACCAGCATGACCAAAAGCAACACAAGACAAGAAAAAGAAAAGAGTTTTATTGGATGACCTGAAAATATTTCAAAAATATTTTTTTAAATACAAACCAAATTAATTTCGCTAATTAAAAGTTTTATCTACAAAATACCAAGCTCAGTAAGGATTTCTGGTTTCTAAGTATCTGCTTAAACACATATCAATTTGAGCTCATCATACCTTTTGATGGAGCACAAATTAAACATTTCATCAAAATAAACAGACAACCAAACGAATAATAAATTTATAATTATCATGATAATTTAATCAGGACTTTTTTGCGTACCTGCCATGAGCCTTCTACTTCTCTATTTCTCAGTTTGTAAATTTTCGTTAACTCAGCTTTGACAATTGTATATTTGAGGTAAATAGTCCAAGTTTCCATCCTTATATACTCAGTTCAATCTTCCGGGGTAAGGTAGATTCAGGACTTTTTATTCTTGAACAACAGGGAGTAGAAGACATAATACGAAAAAGAGTTTTGGCCAATACCTATCTTATTTTAGATTTTTATTCTTCCCCCACCAAGCAGGAGACAGCAACTTTTAGGTAATATATTCAAGAGGAATATATCGAAGGAATATTTCTTTTATTTTCGGAAGGATTGCCTTTGTCGTTCTTACCTCACTGGCCTAAAAATACTAGAAATCTCCAATGTAGCTTAATCTTACCATAATGAAATATCTCCTACTGTTCTGAGCCACTTCCACTAAAGGGGATTCAAGCGGCGTGGTTCGGGTTATGTTAATCTCAGCGATACAACAATAAGTGTTGCTTGTGTGACTCTCTGCTTTTCAAAATCCTGGTTTACAGGACTCTGACTGTGGAACTAGATTGAGTTTTTAAGTTCTAACCAAGAGGAGTCAAATGAGATTGTTTACATCAATTGTTGAATAATTTCACTTTCCATGTTCTTAGTCACATCTAAATTTACTTTCTTGGCATTATTCAAGGTATATAAAATACTTCTGTGCTAAAATTTAACACAGTTTCAAGATGTTTCATCCTTCAAATTTCCCTACAGCACTTATGTTTTTATCTGTTTGCATAAGTCGCCTTAGAAAACCAACAATTTTGCATAAGCACTTACGAGATTCTTTGAGAACCACTGATTGACGAAGTCGATGACCATACGTGCTATTCGCTAGTTACACGATCGACACATTAGCTAGCTATAAGGAGACTATAGTAATAGACTGCAGTAGACCAGCTGCCGTAGACCAGTTAAAAATATAGTCTATTTTAACTCCTGCGATCTATTGAAGGAAAATTTCGTGCTTGGGAAATAAAATCCAAATCAGGTTAAGGGAATTAAATGTATGACAAGCAAATAGATCGCCGCTGGATCGGTTCAGTCAAAGCATGGATGGCAGCAGTGGATGGTACAACTGAGGGATTCGATATTGAAAGATTAATTCCTTCCTTTGATCTGATTTCAGGGATAAATGAGATGATTAGTCCGCCTTTATGCTTGTATCCATTATTTGGAGTAAACAGGAGACTGTCATAAACAATAGAAAAGACTTCTGTTGTAAGAAAATTCGCTAGATGGAAGACAAGGGAAACATTGGGATAGAAGAGAGTCTCAAAGGGGTTAACTGGTAACCGTAAAATGGCCAAAAGATTTAGCCGTTAGGTCTGAAAATGCGAAAATAGCCCAACCGGTTAGCCGTAAAAGCCACCGGCCCATTTGGATCATCATACTGATACAATGAAAACCGGAAACTTAATGAGCTGATAACTCTGAATGTTTCAAGAAAGAAGTGGACTTAAAAAAAACTTTCAATTCTGTTTGTGCGAACTAATTGTAGTCCTCATTGAAGTCGCACAACATCTCACAAGGGTTATAACGTGTCAGGGTTCACCGACAAAATTTAAAAGCCAAACAAGCTGGATAACCTGACCAGTTCGCAACTTGGGGGAAGTATTAAAAAAAGCGAATTACTCAGCCGTAAAACCCTTTTAATATTTTCTATGGTGATACCATGTATTTCAATGTTTTAAAAAACGTCTAATACGATCTGTGAATTGGATTATTGTTAGTAAATTATTGTGTATTATTATGTGTTATGTACTGATCGTGATTCTGGACAATACAGTAGGTATACCGTTTGCATGTGTGTTGAATGAATTGTCACTTATTTTCATTACAAATATCAGTAAATGAAGTAGCATTTGTGCAGCTTAAGTGACAAGGAAAAAAATAGCTACTTAGACTCGTTCCTTTGATGCACTGTTTTTCTTATTAAACCCAGCCGTCTGAGCAGATACCAGGAACAAATCTAACTGCTAAGCCTGCTGGGTTCACAAAAATAAAGCAAAGAACCAGAGGACATAATCAAGCTGCTGTGTTTACCCAGAACGCTGAGCATCTAAGGCTTGATTCCATGTGTTCTTATTATAAATAGAAACGAAAAGTCATTTAATTGGTTCAGAAAAGAGTCAAACGGTGGAGCATTATTCTAAATCATAGTTTTCATGTCCAACCGGATTCCTTTTTCCCTTAGAGTTCCAGATAGCGCCGTAACCTTAGGCCTCATGAAGATCTTCACTACAGACGTCGACATAAATCAAAACGCAACGATCCGAAGTAAGCGTTACACTACTTTTAAGATTTTTTTACCGTGCAAACGAAGGATCAACAAACAACACAGCATTTTCTTAAGTCCTATTTTTTGTGATCTTTATGGAATTATTCCAAACTCGTTAAATTAAGCTGTAATTCTATCCTGTATTTTCTTTATCCATTTTAAGGAGGCTCTCAAGGGTTTTTTGTTCGTTGGCGCTGTTGTTGGCGCTCGCACCGGCGTATTGTTTTTCTAAAAGAAATTTACGTTTTTGCTTTTCAAGGTCACTAAAAGCCATCAAAAGGCAATGAGCAAGGTTCGGACTATCGTTTGCTATAGTAAATATTATCAAAATTATTTTCGTTATTAAGCTAAGGCTCCACGAAGGGAGGCGCTTGCCGTCTATAATTTGGATTTGCCTTTGATTTTCTTCAATTTGTTTCGGTGAAATCTCAAAATTTTCACAATTTGTGGAAATTGTCCTGCCAATCCATTAGAAGCCGAAAAGAATAGGGGTTACGGAGGCAGTTTCCTCGCTATTTGCAATTTTGTGTTTTCTTCCTCTATCTCAAATCTGGTCTTAAAATTTTTTTTTTATTAACAGGCACTAGGAAGGGAACTAATATATTTAGCGGACTAGCAAATCTTAGGAAATTCAAGGACACGAGATCTTTATTATTTTCTCAAAGTCCACTTGCATTACGACAATGTGAGTACAGCTCCTTCATAAATTGTTATGGCCGAGGGTACTACTGTTGTTGGGATCTGGACAACCATCGGAACACCGCGAATTAAGCTGAGAGTTGAGTTACTACCTTAGAAGTACTCGACTACGTCTCTTGTTTCTCCCTATAAGTCTTTCGTACTCTAGCCGCTTCCTGTGAGCTTTACAACAGAACAGAGCATAGTTAATAACGGTATATTTTAACAGATAGAATTCTTCAAACCAAACCACTCTATTAAACAACGAGTAATAGCGAAGCTCGCACGTGCGCAGCGTAGCCCCATGATTATAGGAAATAGTAGTAACCCATCAAGCCGGAAAAATTTGGACTTACGACCGACTGCACAAGGTGCTAGTATTAGCATGCGCGGCCAACTGCATTGCGGGCAATACTTAGCCATTGCGTAATAGAAGGTGAGGAAGAAGGAAATGCGCAGGCGTAATTGCGTAAGTAGCTTGGATACCTCATTAATGTGCGCCAGAAAACACTGGCAGCTGATAATGAAGTGCGCATACTCGCGTTGCACTATGTAATTATCACCTCACTACCACTTCTCGTAACTTGACTTTTTCTTGTTATGTCTATGCCCTTCTCCGATTAACTTCACTCGAAAGGCATCTGACGTTAAGCCGGCGATAAACTGGTCCGTCATGAGTTCGTCCGCAAAGTCTTGTGTTCACATTGTGCTTCTTGATTTCATATCCTCGTCTCCCATGACGCAATTACTTGTTTTCTTGTTGCAGTAGGCGTAGATACTTTTGTCGTTCCCCTGACACTCCAATGCTAGCGTCACAATATTCTCTTGCAACACTGTGAGATTTCTTCAGATCGGCTTCGCGTAGTGCCAGACTGCATTTGTACACCGTCCTAGCCGCAGGAGATAATGATAATGTATGCCATAGTTTTATCAGTTTTATTCTCTTTCTTTTGATGCATCGTACCAATTCTGCGTTTTCAGTGTAGTGATCTATCAAATCTACGATGAATGTTTCTAGGTCGTGCTTTTCATCTCCTGTTGTTTTGAATTCTGGAAACGGTGTATTCGAAGTCATCTTGGTTTAAACCGGAGAGAACTTGACTAGTGGACCACGATAAAAATCTCACGTGCCTATTAGAGAAGTGCAGTAACCATGATCTCCGACTGTCTGCGAAAAAGTTTCAGTTAAAATCTCCTTCTGTCATTTTCATGGGGCACAAGCGCCCGGACCCAGCAAGGTAGACGCAATCACAAAGATGCCAACACCCGTTGACAAGGCTGGGGTACAGCGTTTTCTTGGAATGTGCCAGTACCTAAGCAAGTTCTGCCACAACTTGTCGGAAACAGTTCTTCCACTGAGAGACTTGGCGAAAGAGACCCCTGAATTGCTGTGGTCGAAGAATCATGAAAATGCACTCAGTTCAGCAAAGAACCTCCTTGCATCAGCGACTGTACTACGCTACTACGACCCTATTATTCCCGTAACTCCGCAAGTGGACGCGTCTGAAGATGCAATCGGAGGCGCACTGTTACAAAACGATCAGCCTGTTTGCTTCACAACCCACACACTGACCAGCACCGAGAAGAATTACGCCCAAACTGAAAAGGAGTGCCTCGCAATTGTCTCTAGCATGGAAAACAGGCACCAGTACTTATACGGAAGACACGACATCACGGTACACACAGATCATCAACCGCTCGAGACAATCCTCGAGAAACCTCTCTGCAAAGCCCCTCAACGACTGCAGCGAATGATGCGCAAGCTACAAAGATATCAATTTTCAATTCGATATAAGAAAGGAAAGGAACTTTACGTCGCCGACACTCAATCTTGTGCACCTGTCATTGATCATCCTTCAACAACCAGTGCTAAGAAAGAATACGAACTGTTCCGCGTGGAATTAGCTGAGATGGATATTGAGCCAAACAAATTCACATCTGAAACCACGCAACGAATCAAACAAGACTGAGACCAGTGAAAATCCCTTCCTGGTATTCCTGTGCAATTTAAAAACTAATGGGTTGCCTGCAGAAAGAAAGGAAAAGCCAGAGCAACTAAGGCAGTATTGGAGTTTCAGAGACGAAATTTCTGTTTACAATGGAGTAGCCTATCGATCTCATTAAGTTATTGTCCCTTCTCCGTTACGAGAAGCGATGTTGCAGAAAATACACAAGCGCACTAGGGGGTCGACAACAGCATAAGAAGAGCGCACGAGTCTCTCTTTCGGCCTGGAATGCAAGCAGCAATCATGGAAAAATGCCTTTCATGTGGACTTTCTACCCACTACGTTAGCGAGAGACCACAAGAACCGAAATCTCACACAATACCAACTAGACCGTGGTCAAAAATAAGTGCTGACCTCTTCCAGTTAAACGGATATAACTACCTCGTAATGGTCGACCATTACAGTGATTACATAGAACTTGACTTCCTCAGTGGAAACACCACGGCTAACTCAGTGATCAGAGCAATGAAGAGACAGTTTACTCGCCATGGCATCCCAGATGAGTTGATAACAGACAATGGCCTGCAATTCGAGATTCACGAGTACTTAAGATTCGTTCAAGAATATGGTTTCACCATAGTCAAATCATCACCTCATTACAGCCGGGGAAATGGGAAAGTGGAGTCAGCAGTTAAAATTGCCAAGAACATCCTGAAGAAACCTTGCAAAGAGGTTCCTTATCTGGCTCTCCAAGCGTACAGAAACACGCCTCAGCAGGGTTACTACTACTCACCAGCTAAGCGTCTCATGTCAAGAAGACTCAAGATATCATCCATACGGCAGACCACCAACTCACCCATCAGGCAGCGTCCCCTAGTCTGGAGTATGAAAACTTACAGAAAGAAGGCGAAGATCAGTGGCCTCAGTACAACAAGAGGGTCTTGCAGCCCCTTAAAGAATTTTTAAAGAGGGGAAAAGTGTTCGTGAAACCCAGGCCTGCAAATAAGCACCAACCTTGAATATATGGTAAAGTTATTGGAAGTACGGCACCACGGTCTTGCAATGTTAGCACCTTAATGGGACCAGTTCGGAGGAATCACACACAGATTAGAGAGGCAAAGGTTGAACCAGCGAACAAACATGAGAGAGCAGATGACCACTTGAAAATCATACTGGTGAGGTTATAGTTGAGCAGTAATTCTCAGTATTTTGCGAAAGCTTTGTCAACCAGAGAAAATAGTTATAATTTAAGTTCGTGGAGAAAGGATTTTGAGTAAAAAAAGGATTGCAAAGAGAGAGACAGAGCGACCAAAGAGAGCAAGAAGTAAGAGGCGTAAAGCGAGTCGAGAAAACGCGAAAGAAAGTTAGAGAGGACGCTGATATAGGCACAGTACGGCAAGAGGAACGCGAAAGAGAACAAGAAAAGGCACAAGTAAGAAGGCGAAAATTTAGCAAAGAGCAACGTGAGAATAAAATACAAGGTCTAGAAAACAGACTGAAAAGAGGTCTTCAACAAATAGAAGCGAATTACAAAGGATCCATGAAAGAGGAGGAGGTTAGTCGTGTCTTATCTGGGTTATCTCTCACGCTAAGGCTCAGAAAAATTCAAACCCTTTTTTATCAAAAGGTTCGTATTCCTCAAGTTATTTATTGTCCTATTGTTTGGAATGTTTAGTACAGTCGTGGTGTTAAGGGAAAAGAAGTTATCGTACGGCTGTACCTTACAAACGAAGTAATGGTCTTTCTCAAAATTAAAATAAATTGAGATTAAGTCGGCGATGTTCTTGTTTTCATTAACACTGAGGCGGTAGTTTGATTTTGACAATACTGTCATGTGAGAACACATCAAAAATTACGGACTGCAAATGTGTGATGCAAACAAACTCAGGAGTAAAATGGAGTTAGTCCTACTGCAAGGAGTGAATTTTATTGTTTGGTCATGGTACTTTTCAGTGCTATGTTTTCATGATTCTACTCGATTCGTTTGAACTCCAGGAAATGGTTTGTCTCACAAAACATTTCGCCACTTTCTCTTCACTCAACATCTCGAGGCGTTCTTAATGCTTAGGTTATGATGTACATTCTTGCGATACGATGATTTTTTTCCAAATGCTGGAAACTGAAGAATCAATCTCTGAAACTGATAGTAATAACATTTTGCAAGAAGCGTCCGAGCTGTGATAACTTCAGGTCACTACCACGCTGATAGGCACATGGTTAGCGTAAATAATTGTTTCTTACAGTTTTCGAATTCAAGAGGAGTTTTTGAGGATTCACGAGTCCGTTTCTGTAACCTTCCTGGATATTTTCTGTTGAATTCATCGAGTTACAATCTAGGAATTTCCTAGGTAATTATGAACCATAAATTTGTATCGGCACCATCATTAAGAGCACATTTCGAGAAGTTTTGTTAACACATCAGTTTACAATTCGAGAACCATTTCTGTAACCTACTCGGATATTTTCTTTTGAATTATTTGTGTCACACCCTCGTTATTTTATCAGTAATTAAGAACGATAAATCCGTATATGAAGCACACGTGAAACAACACATTTTAAACTTTCCATACGATATATAAGTATAAGAAACTATAGTTTGTTAAATGTTGACCCTCGATAAATTGGCCTGGCATAACTCGTTGATTATATGATTATTTTCTGGCTCCAAAAGCCCGACTGATGACCCTGGAGTTTTACATATGTCGATAATTTCATAAAAGAATTTCTATCATAGCTGTATTCAGAAGCATAGATATGTAGGTAATGTGCTTCTGCTTTATTTAATTGTAATGGGTTCCTTTTTATGTAACATATGTCCCTCCTTTAATTTCCTCCCTAACCTGCCTGCAAATAATTTTACGTTTTAATTCAAGTGTGAGAAGATGAAACAGAAGTGTTGAGGAGTTCTCTTTCTAGATAGAATTCAGGGGAGTAGACGGCGATAAATAGAGAATAATACATGGGCGCGCGTAGATATGGAATATCTCTTCGAGTTGAACACGAGAAGAGAAATTCCATATCTACAAGTGTTAAATGATAAAATTACAATTATAGTTAATCTACAATATCGTAAGGGTTTCCTGTATTGGTATTGGAAAGAAAAGGAATGGAAATATTATATTATTTTAAGTCATTTAATGTAAATTATAAAAAAGGGCAGGTTGATTACTTCGCACTCCTTCTTGGTGGTCTTATCTTAAAGGTAAAGTTTGATCACATTCTTCTTGTGAGTTTGGCCACGTTCTCCTAGTGATTTTATTCACGTTTTTTCGTTGTGATCGTGAGGTTGACATGGAACTCGTGATAAGCCATGTTCTTAAATAAGTTAATTTGTTAGTCCAGGAAGAGTAAATCTCCCTGGTAATAGGTCGCGTTCGACACCTTCGTGTTCCCAGAGGTAATTTAAGGGTAAACAGGTGATACCCCTCATGTTTCGCAACCAAAAGCAATTTGGGGGCGGTACTTGTGAGCGCCTTTCTTCTTTAACTCTTGTGACCAAGATGTTGTTATGCAACAATCTTTAAAGGTGATTTTCTCTTAAGATACACTTTCAGGTATAAATAATACTCTGAACCAAGGTTATTTGTAATTTTTATATTGTCGATCTCGTTTCTGTTCTGGCCGATCTCAACCGTAAAGATATGAAAATTAAGGAAGAAATTGATTTTGTAACTGCGTGCATACTCAGTATGTGGGAACTATAATACGTAGTCAAGCGTGATTCGCTAGTTGAGATGGTACGATGACGACACAAGAAGATTGACGGCTTAGAAATGTCATCCGCAGTGTCACCTTTATAAGCGGAGACTCTAATTTTTTCCTGATATATTGAAGCTAGTCCCCGTTGTAACAACTTGAGAAGAAAAGAAATTAAAGAAGGATCAACCAAACCAACAACGAGTGTTAGAGAATTTACTTCTAACACAAGCAACCATGTATTATTTTGTTTATCATATGAAAACAACAGCCCTTTATTGAGAAGAAAAGCCGACTTCATTAATAAATGAACGACAATCCCCGAATATCAATCGTAGAGTGCGTTGGCGCTAACTCTTAAGATGGAAAAATGCGTTGAATCATGATTACAAAAACAACAATGGTCGTAATTTTCAATTTACATAATTCTCATTTATTGACTTTGTCCTTACCGACCGAAGAAGTCTTTCAGGTAAACGGCCAAAATCGGCCGGTGACAAATCTTCCAGTTGTCGATTTCATTCTCAGCCGAGAGAAATGCTTACACCAAAGCCACTGAATACGTAACTTTCGGTTTTTCTTTTAGTATGTGGGTTTTCTACCCCTTCTAGAAAAGTTTGAACCTCACTGTCTGTCAGCAATACGGATTTTTCAGTATTTTAGCCGGCATAATTCGAGGAAGCTCCGAGAAACAACTTGTACTGAGAATCGTGAAGGGTTTGCCGTTCGGTCATCAACCTGACAGAGTGGCACCAAAGGCGAGTGAAGTGTAAGCAGCTGATTGGCTATATCAACGCACGTAAAAAAATACGATATTTTTTCAATTGTGTTATTACGGCTTTTCTCAGGGCCGGAAATCCTTGTATAACACCGCAGTTTATGTGATAAAAAAAAATAACGACGAATAGTTGAGAGCATTTAATGACAACAAGCAAGATTTGAAGGTGCTTTTTATTCTATCATTACTTATAAGTGCCACATTATTGTAATACAGCAATATTTAATCTTCCATAGGAAGTACAGAGATCCCTCAAAATCGGGACTGATATCAAACTAATCGTAATGTTGTTTAAGTCCATCCTGGCCTGTAACAAGTAAACAAGGTATCTTCAATAGCAGCTTTGTTTTGCAATATTCCGTAAATCACTCACCAAATCGAGAACATTCGTATTGAAATCGGTCAGAATGATTTGTGTTCGGAAAACAAATCCTGAACAGTTGTGGAGCCATGGATTGATGTGACACTTGAAGGTTTGGTTAAAGCAAGTGGTGTCTGTGGTGTGATGTCTGTATTGTTCATCTGCCGGCCTCCTCGTAATCCACTAGTTCTTTTCCCTCTTGAGCCCCGCTGAATTTTAAAAAAAGGGTGAAATCACGTTTCAGAAGCTGAAGACTTAGGGAGTATATCAATTTCTCAACAAAACATCGACAAAATCGCAATACTTTATCATAATCAAATTCAATACTTGTTTTATCACTCAATTGCTGATTAAAAGACAAACAATAGTGCCATTGATGATTTTAGATATATGACATTCATATATTTGCACTGCGGTGAAGAAACGAAATTAAGAGATCCTCGCAGCTAAGAACACTACTGAACTAGTAGTCGAAAATAGGACCTGAAAAAAAATTCAGGCCCGTACGGGATTTGAACCCATAACCTTTGCGATACCGGTGCAGCGCTCTACCAACTGAGCTAACTAGTTCAGTACTGTTCTTAGCTGCGAGGATCTCTTAATTTCGAATAGTCCCATTATTCCTCCATTTCTATGGGTTTTTAACCCTTACCTTCATTTCGATCAAAATCCTTGGTAAACGTCGCTGCACCAATGCGTTCGCCAGACGTTTTATTCGATTCATTCCCTCCCGTATCATCAACTTCTCACCAAGTTTCAGATGGCTAAGCTGTTTTGTGGAATTCCTCGTTAGTGAGATGAAGGCTTTGACTACACGAATGTTTTCGTCAAGCACTTGCTGCGGCTGAAGAGAAAAGGATAAAAAGTTTATTTTGGGCGACTGAACAAAGTAATCGCTATGAGATGATGAAAGGCTAATAAATGTCACACTGGGAAAGGTCTATGTTACTTTTAAACTGAAAACCTCTATATCCATAAAATTGCCCAATAATTACTTTTTGCTTTTTGTAGAATTGAGAAGAACTTTAAAAAAAGGAATTTCCGTTCCTAATACAATGCAACTACATGTTGATAGAGTAAATTATCCGATTTACTCAGTATTGCATTTAAACTGAATTTTTTCCATTAAATTGAGTTATCTCTTAATTAAGGCATAAAACTAGAATTGAAAATCTTGATAGATGGGCATAGATACCTTTACGACAGTTTTCCGAGGTGGACCAAATAAATGGGTGTTGCTGGCTTTATAGAGGTTCATTGGCCATCTCGAAGACTGTAAAAGCAGAGGAGATTGATTCAGTAGATTGTTAAAATACAAATAAAGGTCCATAGCTGCAACATTACAGGACTAATAGAGATAATAAAGCTGTTAAAGCGTACCATGTTTTTGCCAAGATCAGTGATTATGTCTGATAGTTCGAGAGACTTATGTTGGGCTTCTGACAGTTCACGACGAACATTTTGATCTCTTTGGCATGGCCACGTGTGATTCGTCTGATTGACAGGCAAACTAGTACCAATGGAAATGATGACGTACATAACAAAACTACCGATGAAATATCCTGCTTTGAAATCAAGAAAGAAGTGTGATTAGTATGATATTTTTACTTACAGTTTATAATTTTTAACATTTTTTTATTAAGTATTAAGTTGGAAGAACTTACCAATTTTTTTTAACTATTTCAAATTATATAATCTAAATCTTATTCTCAAGCCACAGTGCTTTTTTATGTCACAAAACGTAAGAAACGTGAGAAATAAGTTGTCATTGTACAAGTTCTTTAGATGTGCAATTATAGTCATACCTTTCATCCTTATGAACGGTCAAGACTGAACTGTTTAAAGTCGTTCTGAATTGGTTCACGAGAGAACAAGAATAGTATCTTCAGCTCGGCTACAGGCCTTTTATACCCACACAGTTGAGTCATGTATCCTACTTTGAGCGCTAACAAGCTGAGAGAGGAAGTTTGAATATCTTTGTTTCTATTTAAAACTGGTAAACCTCTTGATTACCAGCTTTTTTTTTATCCATTTCAAACTTCCAGTAAGATGCATTTCTTTTGTAATGGAGTAAGAATGTACCTTGTAATAAAGTTAATTTTTAAATAGTTGTGTTCCCCCTTGACTTGTTCCGTATTCAGAATAGTGAATGCAGTAGCACCCCACCGTGCATGAAGTGACATGCATTTGCAAAAGAATCCTTTAGTAATGACACCAAAAGTTTAACGTTGATATTGTTACAGTATCACCTTTTTTTAAATGAAAAAAAAATGAAATCTTAAAATATCTTTCCTGGATGGGGTTATGTAACAACTTGCTATAGCTTCAAAGTACTAATCTGGAGAAGAAAGTAGTATGAAATAACTTGAGTGGTGAGGCGTGACGCATAACTTGAACGAAAGTGAACTTAGTGATAATAGTTTTATGAAAAGGATTGTGATTTTGCCTGCGGAATGAATACGGTCGATAAATGTTTCAAATCTAAGATGGAAAACTTTATTCTAATAGCCTCAAAGGAAGAGCAGAGAGGGATAGCAAATCAAATCAACAATAGAATGAACATAAATTTTCCAAGAAAAGTGACATTCTTTGACCATTCTAAAGATTAATATTCCAGTTTCTCTATACTGTTATGTACCGTTATGGCCTGAAGGAAAGCGCTCTCAGTTAAAATCAAACGGTTTTCAAATCCTTAACATAAAACCTCGTCAAGTTAGACAAGAAAAATCATATGGTGAAGGAAAGATGCACGCATTTTTTAAAAAATCTGACACTTATAGCGACGAAGAGCTTCCTTGCATCATGATGTTGTGATGTTGCTGTAATGTTTTTCAAGGCTATTTTAAGAAAATACAGTTAAAAGAGCCCAGCAGGCGTCAGTTGTTGTTGAACTCCGAGTCGTTTGACGTGCCTAGACAATTAAGAACTTTCCCGGAATTCAGACACGCGATTAGGATGATGTCAATCCAATTAAGCCCTGCAGAGCACATAACAAAACCCTCTGTAACGTTGTGTTTTGATATGATAGTACGACGCTAAAAGCCATCCTTCAAAGCAACGTTAAATTTAGTTGAATCAATGTCCAGCACAAACATTAGCTATCATCTTTTTTATTAACTAAATCGTAGAGCGGTACTCATCCTTTTTTCCTCAATTCATAAGCTCTAAAGAAGTGCAGACTAACGGTTTTGATTTATATTAGCAAAAGCATTTCTTGAACTTGGTAGTTTTGATCTCCTAGTTGTTCAGATATCGAAGTGTAAATTAGAAGATATTAAAGCTTTTTTTTTCTTCAAGTACACGGTATAAATAAAAGATGCAAACTGCTTTGATTGATACTCATTACAGATATTTGTGAGGAGACGCAAAACAGTAAGTCACATCAAAAGTATTTATTCTATAAGTTTTAAAATCTGTTTTGAAAATAAAAATTTTACTCTGGATTCAAAGAAGGAATTTAAAACACTTATGAGTGACCTTTATTTATGAGTGACCTCATTTTGGTCTGATGATGATGGTAGTGATGATTGATATCGCCATCATCCAACAAAAGCAAGTAAAAATGATCTTATTTATCTACCCTAAGTATGAGAAAAAGGATTGCTGCAGGAACCGTCTCATAATTTGTGTCAAGGAAACAAAACTTACGATGATTTTGGCGATTCATGGCCGATGATTTGTGAGTGCCTTGGTGTTCCTTTACAACCCGAGTTCGTTGGGGAACCAGTCCTTCGGCTTCTTGGAGACGGTTCATTTGTTTCATACAATTTTTCATCAGTAACATAAAGGTTTTCATTACGCGACAATTTACTCTGAAAATCTTCTTAAGCCTAAAAATTGATAGAAGAAAGTATCTAAAATCGGCTCAATAAACTCTATACCTTTTATGTTGACCTACCTTTCTTGACGAAGTTTACTTATTCAGTTAATCAAGTTCATTAGAAAAGCAGCCTCCAATAAACTATCGTAACCATTATATCATAGGCTATCTGTAAGAATGACAGTAGCGTTTATTGACATACAAAGCAATTCTGAAGGACATAAAAGTAAGTGAGAAACTGCTACATAAGTGTTTACCGTATGTGCTTTTCTATTGAACCTTCCGAGATGTACGATGAAGTCTACATTGGTTTCCTTATAGGGATCTGTTTGCAAATTTCTTTTCTGTGAGGCAAATCAGCACAATTAGAGCAACACGACCTATCGCACAAAAACTGAAAAACGGATCACCGCGAAAATCAAAGTGTGTATTATTGTGTTTCGATTGAAAATCCAGACATCATGACAGTTATGAAATTTATATAATATCGTGCTGCTACCGAGCACGATTCTCCATTCGCCAGAATGAAGTCCCTTTTGCATGGCCATGTCTGGGAAGGACGTGTAACGAGAAAACAGGTCATTACTCTGAAGATACAGCCAAAGGGAAAACTTACTGTAGTGATCACCAGGAAAAAAACTACAACTTCGCAAATGAAAATAAAATACCGAAAATTTGTGTTTACTTGTTCAACTAGGCTGGATGGTTAAACCAAGCAATAGAAGTAAACGAAATTAAAACTAAAAGCAGTAACTGGAATTTTAAAGAAGTAATTAGTTAAAAAATCATGGTTAGTGATGAGATCATTTAAATTCTGTAGTTAAATTATGAACTTGGTATGGAAACCGGAATAGGGAATATTCTTGCCGTCCACCTGCTCCAAAAAGAAGATTTCCCGTTATTTCTAATTTTCCAGAATCAATCGCCACTTCTTGTTGTAGCCGTACTACATCAGGACCAAAAAAAACAATAAAATAGAAAGTAGAGAAAAAAATCTTTTAGTTGGCTTGTTTGGTAAAAATCGGACGATAAAAAAGATAACTTTCAAGAAAAACAATACATTCTCTTCAGAGATAGAGCGTTAGATGAAAATTGTTAAACCCTCCAAATACAACAGGTTAGTGGCTTTCAAAAGACGCAAGTAAATTTATTTTGAAGCTACAGCCATGATCTTTTTGAAAAATAAGGGTATAGTTTAGGGCGAAATTGATCCTACTGCGGTCAAAGGCTCCTGCTGTTACAAAAGGAACAACATCTTCAAACAAAGGAGTATGTTTCATTGGACATGCGCCAGATTTGCGTCACCAAGGGAACTGGGAAGTCTATCATTGTCACGCAAGATGCATTACTTTTCTCGGAAATGTTTTTCAAGGAAAAACGATGCACCTGTCTATCTCAGTGCTGAAGACCAAAATAAGAAAATTTCAAATTTATTTTGTCAGAGGCGTGAACTCAACTCGATTTAAACGTCCAGAGAAAGAGGATTCCCTGGGATGTCAAAGTAAAAGTGTATGACTGTCATCTTAGCACTTTCTTTAAAGAAAGATAGGACAACACTTATCAGTTATTAGCAGTAAACGGTGTTGCAAAGATCTTTTTACAGAGGCTATTTTCTTAGAACTATCAATCAACACATTGATTTCATTTTGAAGACAAATCTGTGATATTTTTTTAAACTCAAGACCACGAAACAGTTCGGAAGGAAACAAATGATTTCTCTGGGGAGCTCCCGTGGAATATTTTTACAACTGATGTCCCTTGACATGTCGTGAGGCAAACAAGGAAGCATAGATAGGGGGAATTTTATTATTTGGCAAGGACGAAGTCGGGGAGTTGAGTGGCAGAGGGGAATTTTCCGGTAAGTAGATGACAGAAAACTGATTTACGTGGTTGAAGTCGATGTAGGAGTTTTTGGAACAACAGTATATTCAATTGTGTGTGATATGGAAAAAAAAAAAAAAACGCGGCGGCGGTTTGTTGATGTCAAAAAAGCCTCTGTTTCGGAAGCAAACGATTATTCCCGA